GGACTGGCAGAAGGGCAGTAAGAGGCACTCAGGTCATCAAAATCCTAGTACAGCAATGTGCAGCTTTTCAGGTTACTTGGAAGAGAAGAGGTGGCCTATACTCAGGCTGAACCCAAGACTCAAGCCATTGAAGGGAGATGGTGGGGAGATGGACAGGATGGAGCCCTTGGCAGCTCAAAGAAGGTGAACGAGGACAGCGAGGAAATCCTAATGGCTCAAAGAGCTGAGACAGGATGGATCCAAAAGTCATAGACAGCTCCTGAAGGGCACAGAGGGCACCACACAGACCACTTGAGTACCTGTATGTGCTCATATGTGGGTGTGTGAGTACAAGCGAAATCAGTTTCATAGTAGCATCACCTCCCCTTCCTACAAGGCCTTTCCTGCCCTCTTGTAACATCACTTCCACCCACAGGTGAGAAGAAACACAGCACAACGTGGCTGGTAGGAAGCTCCAGAAGCAGGGAATAAACTGAGGGAGAGGAGACAAAGGCACTTTAGGGAGAAGGTAACTGTGGTGCTTAGGGGATAAAAAGTACAAGACTGTTCAAACAGAACGAATGAATGAGGGTCCATCAGGAGGAGAGACAGTGGAAGAAGCAAGAGAAGTTCAGGAAAGTTGGAAGGAAAGAGGGTTGTGGGACAAGGGAAGATGAACAGAAATGACAGCAAAAGGTCCTGAAAACAAAGTTTGAACAAAATGTATCACCAAACAGGAAGATGAAGAAAAAGGGAATTGGAAGGAGGAGCATGCATGAAGCAGCTATTGTGGAGAGAGATCTGAGTTAGGATCTGTGTCCTGAATACGAGTCCTGAATACAATTCAAGAACAGATGGACACACAGGAGGCAACTTTGTGCAGGTATCATGAAGGAGCCGTGCACAAAGGATTTCTATTAGAAGGGAGCATTGAAACCAGTGGGACATAGCAAGGATGACAGAAACATAGGGTAGCTTTGGTTGGGACCTTGGCAGGTCATCTGCTCCAACCCCTGCTCTGAGCGGGGAAAAGAAAATAATACAGAGAAGAAAAGGTCTCTTGTATCTTCATAAATAAAGTTAAGCCTTAGCTATATGCCAGAAATGTGTACCCAAAGTCAAACCTTCCCTTGGTTCCCTATGGTTGATGTTCCCCTCTCCTCTGGAAGCAAATCATACAGATTACTGGAAGTGCTACTACTATTGCTCTGGATTCTTGGCTATGGGGCACAGAGGTTTTTTTACATATCAAAAGCAGGCAAAAGAAACACTTGACGACCAACCTGTTGCTTGCTCTAAACACACATGCACATCTGATGCCAGCACAAAACAAAGACAGGGAAAATATTTCTCATGCAAACGGGGTTGGTGGTTAATCAAGTGAATCGTACCTTTTTGAGAGGTATCCTAGCAACTCCCCAGCAGCCACAGGTCCTGGCTGACACTGCACACTGATGCGATTGTTCTCCTGCAGACATCAAAACTTCGCAGCTAATCAAAGAGATAATTCGAAACAGGAGATCACGTTAAATCTGATCCAACAAAGGGGAATTTTATAAATGAGCAATGTCACCCGGGGCATCTCTTATGCTTAAAGTTGCCGTCTCGGAACAAGAGTAGGTCAGGCTCAGCGAAGCCATGCGGTTCTGGGAACAAACCCTCCCTGCAATCGGCAGCACGATTCTCCTGAAGGCACTCGCTCCTGCCGTGTAGGTTTCTGCTGGTCTCTGCTTTAAAGCACTATGCAGAATTTATTACTATTTTCTTGAATAGCAAATGCTCACCCGCAGCACTCTCTAGAGCACAATTATCAGCAAAAGCCCTGCTGGTGCTCTTGTAGCCGTTTGCCCTGAGATGCTTCTCTAAACAGATTCCTGCTCCTAACATGCCAGATCAGATATCCTTTCACATCTCCTGACTGCAAACAGGCTCTGGGCTGGCTGGATGAGATCTGTGGTCTCAGGACCAGCAATGAGCCTGATGCTACCACATACCAAGCACATTCTCTCCAAGCGTCCCCATTTTTGAAGCATCACAGATTTTCTATTCACCTCTTTAGGCAAGAATGCAGTAGGCAAAGCAAAATCAGAAACACTGGATTTATTAGAGTTCTGAAAAATCACTATTTTTTTTTTACTCTTTAGCTAGCCCAAAGATACCACAGATCTGGGAAAAATACTCAATACATGTAGGTACTTCCTAGTTCACGTTTCTTACCACTGTAGTGCTCTTCAGGCTTTAGCTCAGAGTTGTGAAGGTCATCCCAAGGTCTCCTTCTACAGCGTACATCTCCTCTCCTGGATTACAGAAGATCTATGATGCTCCTCCCACCCTCCACCATTCATTTCCTCATCTTTCTTCTTAAAAACTTTCTGTTTTCTCTGTCAGGAGAGCCCTGGCACCCGACCGCCTTCATCAGATGCTCCTCAGATACTGTCATTTGATGACCACCCTCCTGGGATCAGGGCTGGAAAACCAATAACAATCTCCCTGTATATTCCACTAAAACAGTTTAATCACACTTCAGTGACCTTTTCTTGTTGGATTGGAGGAATTTCTCCCATCACCTTTGGTGGTTCAGAAGGAGAGACAACACAACAGATGTAACAGCCATATGAGCTGAACATCTAACGAACAGACTCAAGAGCTGGACATACATCAAATTGTACATAAATCATCATCAAAGCACTTGTGGCCTACTTTTTACCACACAAGATAGATTATTTTGTGGTCAATCAAGTGCTATTGAACACTGCCACCACTAAAAGCAACATGCAGACAATCTGGATGCTGTACTTGACACCGCAGGTCAAGAGGACCACAGGGGATCAATGTGCCCAATCATAAGGTCCTTGAGGCCTTTTAAGACCTTGCAAAATGTGCTTCCAGTCAGTGGAAAACTGTTACGCAAGAGCAGAAACACTACTTACAGATGTCAGAAGGACCCAAAGGTTCCCAACCCCAAACAGAAGATTCCCTCTCCAAGCACTGGCTTTTTAACACATTTGAACTATAACAGTATTTGCACATAAGTGACTCTAAAACCGGAAAGTGCAGCAAGAAAAGAGAATAAGCTGTAGAGAGCAATGAGAGGAAGAAACTAGTACCTGTGCTACTGTTCCCAGCAGATTAGTTTATTTTCACCTTCCTAATGCAGATACACATTTCTTAGTGCAAGTTGCCACAGTGTTTGCATCAGGAGTCTGGTAACGGGATGTGAACATTTGTGAACTTCAGAAGGGATTGGTCATATGAAACAGGTTAGGAACTGTCCATTTGTAATGGAAACAGCAGGGCACGTCAGTTTGGTGTGATAGTTAGAATTTGCCAGGTGTTAATGGGTTGACTTGCAAAGAAACAAAAAACCAACCCTCTGTACACTACATGACCCTTAATAACTGCAGCAGCTACAGCTTTGTTCTGTGCCTTAGGATCCTCAACCACAGGAAAGAAAAATAAAGAGCCCACCCTGGCAGCATCTTCAGGAGCAAAGCGCTGCCTCCCAGAGAGCCAGCACTCACCCACAATTAGGACAAGGAAGTTAAGAGAAACAACCACCCACCCACAAACAGCCACAGTGTTCACCCGCAGGCTTCTCCTACCTCCTCCAACACAGCATTTCCCCAGAGATGTCCTGAAGGGTAACACAGGCAGTTCAATTCACTGCTGCTGGTCAGAATTGTCCTGATATTCTGACCGTTTGCAAGCAAAACGAACCAGCTAAATTCTGTATAATCAATATAATATAATGTTATACTCAATACAACTGGGACTGTAAGCAAGCAGGTGCACAGGAGTTGCTCTTCACTACAGGGTCTGTGGAGAACAGTCCCACACACTGGGTCTGGATCTTTGAGTAATTTTCTTTCTGAATGGAAAGTTATTGCATGATGGAGACATCAGCCTTTCTTTTCATTGTGTTCAGAGAAATCTTGACCCAAAGCATCTTGAAATCATGAGAATTCTTTTCTGTATTTTAGTATGTTTTGAATCAGGCTCATAGGGAGCATATCAGAGATGCATTTCTAAATCTGTTGTTCCAGTAAGGAATGACCTTCACTTACTTTCTGGAATGCCTCTGCTAAATCCTTCCTTACTTACCTTTTCAATTTGTGTACATGGCACAATGCAGCAATAACACCACTAGCAATGTTGCTACCAACCCTCCCTTCCCCCCCAGTATCAACGATATAAAAAGGCAGAACTTTGTGTTAAAGATGATCTACACACAACATTTTTACTTAAGTGATTTAATAAAACCATTTTGTTAAAAAAACGACTAAGTAATGACTGGAATTCACACAGAAAATTCAGAAATTGCAAAAAATGGCATTATATAATAAACATAACCTGAATATATGAGTTAGACAAATTTGGTAGTAAGGTCTACCTATGCATAAAAAAACCCAAGCCTATGCAGAAGAGAGATCAGCTGTTCCTGAGTTAATTGTGTTTCTGTTGATGTTCTTCTGAGATAACACGACTGCAGTGCAGAATATTCTCCTTCTACCTGAGCCTTTGTGCCAGCTACGTCTCTGCTACGCATTTCGTGGCACTGACATTACACGTCTTCTTCTGATGCAGTGAAGAGGCTCTCCGAATGCCTGAGAAATAAAGTATCTGAGGCTTAAAAGAAGTACTCCAAATGAAAAGCAGTGTACTGGAAGCATCCTACAGGTAAAAAAACCCCAACGCTTCCTATGCTGGCTCATTAGAGATGCTCATCTGGTAGCCAGCACCTGTCCCATCTACCAAAGTCCCTCAGGACACTTTCCCTGCCTTTCTGTCAGAAGAGATCTCCAGGGTCAGTATTTGGATATTATATCTTAGGAGAAATTTACTGCATATAGGTTAGGCTGTTCTATCAAAGTGCATCTTTCCTCTATACATATACTCATTTATGTAAATTATTCCTTCATAAGGCTTTACAATGTAACTGGAAGGTTTCAAATCTGTATCTAATAAATATTACATGAAAATAGTTTTTTCAGTATTTACACACGGAACATATAAAAACATGTTCATTGTAAGAATACTTCTTCGATTTCACCTTCTATAGAACCAAGGGTCTTCAGTCCTGGCCTGCTTGTAGTGTGTTGCAAACGGTGCCTGGTTACGTTTCTTCCCTCACCAAAAAGCTCGTTGCCTTCTTTTCCTTTGCCTTTACTGTTTTTGTCAACAAGAAGAGTACTACCAGAGTCCCAATCTATGTCAAAAGGCATTGTGTCACTGGTTTTAGAAAGAGAGACGGTACTGGCACTGCTTCCAAAGAGCTGCTCCATTAAATTGGATTTCTTTTCCTTTTTACTATTGAAATCGGCGTTTTCCTGAACATTTTCTTCCAAGTTGCTGCTTTTTTGAGTAAGCCAGCTTGGTCTCCCCGATCCCTTCCCAAAGGAAGGTACATAACTACCAAATGTTAACTCACTGCTTGGATTTCGTTGCTTCTGCCCTTGTGCTCTCACGGCATCATCCTGGCTGTCATCTCCAGGAAACCCATTGGTAACCTTCCCGGGAAGCTCAAAGAACAGATGAGTCTTTTCTTTTTTCTCCAGGGATTCAGATTTTCTTGCTGGATTTATGAGAGATGCTTGGGAAGCAGGTTTCATGTTGGTTACATTCCGAGTTTCTCTATCAATTTCTTGCATTTTAGCAAGCAGGAACTCTGTCTTGTGCCACCCTTCCAGCATTCCAGTGCCTTCTCTCTCTACCTGAGGTTTGTGGATTTCTGTCTCCATCTTTGCTTTCTCTTCTTTATCCAATAAAAAGCTGCTTTCTTTTTTCATTTTGTCGCATTCTTCCCTTTCCCGCTCTGCAGGAAATATTTAAACATTATTTCAAATGTTTTAGTTTTAAAATGCCTTTAAAAGAATATTTTGACTATAATGCAAGCAAAAGCCATTGAGTTCTTAATATGCTCCTCTACCAATAATGTGGGTTTTGTACTGCAAAAATAAATTAAAAAATTACAACTAAATTCACACCAGATTCTCTGCTATGGTCTCCAGGGTATGCTGTCACCTTCCAAAGGAATTAGGACATTATCCACATTTTAGAATATTCAGAGAAATTTCATTTCTGCCAATTGCCTTCCCCTTTCCGGGGTTTGAATGAAAACGATTACAACATCGCTGTGCTTTAATTTTCTTTGCCAGCATCACCGACCTCAGGACAGCTCCAGGATACGTGGTTTTGTTTGGCTGTTTATTTGTTTTTCCCATAAAGGGAACCACTTCTGTGAAGCTTTCAGGCCACAAAGTCACAGCAGTCACTACCAGTTTCAAGTTGTGAATGATTTCAAATACACTGCATCTGCCGCATACAGAAAACCCTTTCACACGGGTGTTCTGTGTATCACCACGTCAACTCAATGAGTGTTTGTGCAAATACCACATGTCAGTTTGCACAGCTATAAAGAGACACCAAATAAACTTCTACGTAGAACCTGCAAATACTTATGTGTACAAGAAAAAGGGAGCTTCCCAAATATTTCTCTCTTTAAAATGTTTTTCTATCAAGACAACAGACGTGTTTGGCAAAAAGTTGAATACAACTACTTGATCCCTTCAGCACACCAGCATTCCCCTTTGAACACTTTATTCACATTTCTGGCTGGTGTTTTCATAAAGTTCCATGTTATCTCTTGTACTTCAGATCAAGCTTACAGGAATAACTGCAATAGTTCAGTTGATACATTTAATATATTTTTTTCAATAGCATATTGTTATACCAAGTTATGCAAGGAGCTACTTTTCTGTATGTAAGGTGGGTGAAATACCAGCTATTACTGTAGATAGGAAAGGAGGTCAGAATCATCTTATTTAGAGACACAACAGAGCAGATTCTTGGCCTGGGTAAGTTGTGCACTGATGCCAGTGGAAGTACGAGATTTTACACAGAATTCACCTCTGAAAGCAGCTACAGATTTTTTGAATCCTTCCTTGTCACCTAGAATGAGTGTTTCTGTTCATTAAGTATAATCACTGAAAGAGTATTTTAACATGACAGGATGCAGTCCATCTGAAATACTTTGGAATATTAAGAGACTTAAAATGGCGTGAAAACCAAATGAGTACAAAAAGCTGTATCGAAATGCAATGATAGAAACTGACATTTCTCACATGGCCACACCAAATGATTCAGATAACCACAAGTGAAAGGAGAAACTACAATTTCAGATGATACGAGTGAAGTAGATACGCACTGAAATAAACCATAATAAAGCCATAATAAGGAAAGTAGATTTGTTCTATAATAGCAAAAATCTTCTGCCTGCCTCAGTAACATCTAGCAAGTCAGAGATAACATCAGCATTTACCTGCTATGTCACCCTTGTTTTGTAAAGCAAAATCTCTTTGGGGTTCAGTATTTTTTAGCGGACAGCATCTTTTGCTGCTGCATTCTTCATCACAGCTGAGTTTAGGATACAGATTACCTTACATCCCGTATTTATTTCTGATTCTCTTTGCATAATGTAACTGAAAATAATTTTCCACTGTAGTGATCTCTGCAAAGTAATTTTGCTCTTCTCACAAGAAACAAGCAGCCTCACTTGATCAGTATTCTATGCTGTATTTTCCAGCCTTCAGCTGCCTGGTTTCTTACCTTCATGTAGTTTTTGAGCCCTCTCTTCCACAGCCTGTATTTCCTGAAGACATTTCAGTTTCTCTTCCTTTTCCCTGTCTTGGTCCTGTCTCAGGTCTGTTTGCTCCTTCCATTCTTTATCTTGGCTTTCTTTTTCCTGAAATAAATTGATCCAAAACTGAAATCGATGGGGAAAAATAAGCAATAAAAACAAACAAACCAAATCATATCAACTTCTATGTCATTCTGAAATCACATTCCTACTGCTAACCATAAAAATCAGCAAGTGATCAAAACCAAACCAGCTTTGACAACCCAGGGGTTTGGCCCTAAAAATCTTATCACCTCCAACAGAGTTTTATGCACCAGAAACAAAATGAATAGATAATCAACTCCATTCTGTATTCCACACTGCAGGAAAGCTGCAGCTCCAATGTCATAAAGCTGTAATAACAGACGGCCAGACCCCACCACATTATTTGTTTCTATTTCTATTATTTACTATTTCTTTTCATTCTTTTAACATGCAAGCAATTAGTTGCCCTCTATTTCCACACTCTGATCTTTTTACTGGAGTGAGGTGCGCTGTGGATTCAGGCAGTGTCACGGTGGTACTTAAAGTTATGGAGTATTAAGTTACAAACAGTGAAAAAGAATGGTTTAATTTTGGCTGAAATGTTCAGCTAGTGATTATATACACACATTTATACAGAAAGAACCTGCAGAAAAGATATTAATGTCAGCAGTAAAAATCACTAACACAGAAAAGTAGTGGCAATGAAGCAAAGAGAAAGCCAGAGAAATCCAACGTGTGGATGCTAACTTTGTAACCTGTGCTTATTTTAGAGTAAATTAAGCTTCTAGATTAAAATACACTTCTAAGAGAAATAAAGAGTTACTACCTAATGACCAAAGAAAATACGACTACTAGCCAAAACAAATGCAAGCGTTTTCCCTTCATGTACAATATTATCATTATTATATTAAAAAAACCAACCCCAAACTTCACAAAGAGATGGTGGAATGGTATTTAAAATGCTTGACTTAGGAAGCACAGGCTACCCAAATCTAATTTACATTATATAAAGCAGCAGCCATACATGAACTAGAGGGGTTGATAAGATGACAGATATTTGGATTCCCTGAGCTGCACTTGTATTAACCGTGCATTTCCGTAACTCACACACCAATGTAAATGCTGGAAGAATGCATACATTAAACTACAGCCGTACTTAAAGGATTTTGGAAGACAGAACATATGAATGAACCAGCCATGAAAAAGCTTCGGTCCTGTCAGGAAGTCAGTCAGGACCACCACCAGAGCGTTACTGCTGACAAATGGCCCTAGCCTCATGTAACCAGAACTGTACAATTTGTACCGGAAACTGTGTCACTCTGATGTGTAATATCTTACAAATCTTTGATTTTAGCTTGAGGTCACAGAAGTGTTAGCAATAGTTCTAATGGTACTATTTTATAATAAAAAGGGAAATGGAAAAACAAAAAAATCCAACCGCATTCACAAAGCTGGAAAAACAACAGAAGAAATACCAGCACTACAACAATACGAGGAAGTGTTAGATTTATGCATTGTGAAATAAATCTGGAAATGAAAAGAAACCATAATAAAGACCAAAGCAAAAGGAGAGACAAGGCAGCCAGCACTGTTACAACAGATTGCTCAAGTAAGCACTGGAAATAAAGAAAAGGGGAGAAATGCAAAATGAAGTCTAAAAAAAACTTCCAAGAAATGACAGTGGCAGAAAAAGAAACAAATTGAGCTAATGGTTATCAGTAAGATATAGGATATGGTGAATGAAGTGTCACAGAAATGGAGTATGATCTTTCTGGAAGGGCACAGTTTCTCTTATCAGAACATTTTCTAAATTATATTCTATATATATATTCATATTTGTATACATATAGTTTTAAAAATATAAGGTCTACATTAAATATCCAGTCTGATAGGTGAGTTAACTGGAGCAAGTCTCAAATTTTTAGGGAACTCACTATTTTAGGAAGAATCCCTTCTTTCTTGTTTGCTGCGTCACCGCGGACCAATTCTGACTCTGGAAGAAATTCCACCGGTGAGAAGTATCCGCTGGTCTGGACGCCTTTAGTCAGCTGCGCTCCTTTTTTAGTACTTTGGTTGTTGGCTGTAGAAAATACAAACTAATCAAACCATGGTTTTACTTGAAAATATCCCACTGCATACCTATCTCTCATTTTTAGTGATTTGCAGCAAAGATAAAAGACTGTATCACAGCCAATGGAAGTGGAAAGTATTGACAAGTCGTCTTCAGCATCTGCAAAGGCTAATTTAAAAAAACTGCTTTGAAAACTTCTACTAGAAAAAAATCAACTCACCTTAAAGCTGAGGTCATTACTGCACACTAAGCATTTGGTAAAAAATCCCCACAAAATATCTCACTCCTCTTGTCATAGAAGCTACGTGTAGAAAAGCGAACTCATCAAATTAAGATTCACTTATTTGCATCTTTGAAATACATACATTTATCTCTGTGACACTGTTGAAAATCTGAACTTAAAATGGAGTAATAGTAAATTATCTATAATAAAATGAGCAGTAGACAAACTGTTTGAAATGCTGGCACTGAATATTTAAAACAGTCCCATAAATTCCTGCTTCTTCTGACAAGTAGATTCTACTGATGCAGTGAACACAGGCTAAGCACACACACAGACACATGTATAAACACATTTTATGTGGGCAGCATAAGGCTTGAGGCTGCCTTGTCACACCAGAAGAAATCACTGCACTGATACTTTTACAAGATTATATTCCGGGACACTGGTACTCTTTAAGGAAAAGAAAAGCGCAGCTCATCTGACAGACAGTAAATATGAATTAGCAAAAAACAAATAAAAAACATCACCAAAATATTCACAGCAGTGAAGTGACGTATTTTTAAAGCCTCTGTAATTTATTGTCAGGTACACATTGTCTATGATCCATTAGAGAATTTACTACAATCTCTTCCCCCCACCCAGGAACATGTGGTATGACAGGAGCTAAGGACGCTGTTTGATGAAACTCTGGGTTTTGGTTCTGCTGCAGAAGCAGCTACAGAGCAGTCAAACAAAAATCGTGCCCTTCTCTGTGACCAGCGGTGTTGAAAGCAGTGCAGAAAAGTGAATGTTCTTGAACAAGCAGTGGTAGAGTCAAACACTGAACAGCTTGAATGAGAAAATGCAGCAGAGGAATTTAAGTGTCGCTAATACTTTTTCTGCCTTTATTGCTTTATGTAAGTTACCTCTTTTTCTTTGTATGATATCCACGTCTTTTCTTGGTGACAGCTTCAACATACGATTAGCATATATATTTTTCACTTCAAGATCTCTTTCTTTTTCCTGTGAGTGAAAAAGGCAGGTACAACAGAATAAGATACTAATGTTATTAGTAACTTTTATTAGTTATTGGCAAAGCAATAAATTAAACTAAAAACACACATTGTAAATAGAAACAGAGTAAAGCAATCACTATTTATGTCCAGTGATTTAAGGAGAATAATCACGTTCCTAACTTTTCCTATGCTATTAGAAAGCACATAGAACTTCACTCATCCCACCAAAAAACTCATTAGCAAAATATTCTGGAAAAAGAGCATCTCTGCAGTGAAAATAAAACTAAATGCCCATGTTTCCACAAACCTGAATAAAACTTACAATGTGTGTACAGATTGCACAACTGAATTGTCAGTACTGTAAAGAGTTAACCATCTCAATGTTAGCAATGGTACTCGTCACCGGGCATGCCACAACTGCTATGCAGGGGCCCACTGCATCATAGAGACAAACTATTCAATAAATGTCATGAAAGAAGAAAATACATTGAAGAGTTATCAGAAATCATCTGCTAGTGAAATTATTTTCAAAATAGCAAGCCACCACTAAAAAAATCAGGCTTAAAACACTCTAAACAAACAAGTTTTTGAGTTACTAACGCTACTGCTACTTGCTTGATAGTAAGGTGGTAAACTGGTGCATCTCCATTATTTAAGTATGTTTGAGACTTGGGCTTTCAAGGAAATTCTCCTAGAAATGAAGTACTCACCTCAAATACATTTTTTTTTCAGAAGATAAGCTGACAAGGTAGAACATGACAATATTTTCAGTCTTTACATTTAGAATTTGGGCAACAATGGGGTGGGGCATGCAAATAAATCTTTGCACAGATTTAGCAACGCGTGAATATCTCAAATACATGCAATTAAACTTTACGCAAACCTACTGCAATGCAAGTACATTAGTAACCTAAAGTACTGTATATACCTGCAGATTTTATTTTAAAAATCAAGCTTTCAAAATCTATTTTCCAAGTAGATCTTGTGGTTTAATCGCAATGCCTGGCTATGTACTTGATCTTGCTTCTCTTAACCAGTGCTAACAACAATGATTAACACAGAGACATTCCTTTTACAGACGCTGCTGGGTCAGAGCACAGAACGTTTCAATTTAAAGCAGGAAAAGACCTCACATGTGGTATGTAATTAAGTACACAGCAGAGTACGGTGCAGTCACTGGTAAACTATTCAACCCTGCTTACAGATACTTCCAAAGATAAAATGTCACAATATGGTTAGCAGCTTGCATTGCTTCACATTTTACCTTCAGCTTCTGATTTAGTTGATGAAGCTCTTCCTGGAGAACTCTCTTTTCTTCTTGGGCCTCGAGTATCTTTTTTTTCTTTGCATGTAACTCTCGTTGAAAACTGCTGCCACTTAATTCAAGGTTTTTTTCCAGATCCTTCAATTAAAACAATAGCTATTTAATAACCAAAGTACATTTTTAGAGTCAAATTATTTAAATAAAATTACAGTAAACCAGCATCTTGGATTCAGATATCAGCTCCACCACTGCTGTAACACTGAATGCATTTAAACCCTTAATCCTAACTTTGGGGGGGCAGCCAAAGCACCTGCAGACGCTGCAGCTCATCCTTCTGGAGCACTGAGAGGTGATCTGAGGACAGAGTGGGAACAAACACTCCTTTCTGCAAGGCTTTTGGCACAGGGGACCTCCAGATCTCTTAAGCCAAATCTCAGACTGATGACAGAAGAATTCTTATCTTTCTGATAAGAAGCAGAACACTTCTCTGAAAGTACACGATTAGGAGGAAGAAGAAAAGAAGTAATTGTTAACCTTTCTGCTAGAAACAAACTTGTGACTGTGATTTCATTTACGTATCCTCGCCTTGCAATAGCAACCTGTGGTGATGAGAGAAGGAAAAAAAGTAGAAGAAAATCCCGTACTTTTTAGAGTATGATTCACTGTAACATTATCCAGTTCTAGAAATGCTGAAATACATGACCATAAAACTACAGAGTGGGGTTACTTGGGTAACTCAGCAGTTGTATCTTGCTATTTTGGGATTTATTTTATGAAAGCTTAGTTTCCAGCTTAATCCTTTGGATTTCCAGATCCACTATCTCTGTAATGTAATTCAGGCTAAATTACTAATATAGACACCAAGCTTTAACATCACTTTAATGACCAACATAATCTCAGCTGAAAATAGTATTTCATACAACTACCAACAGTTTAATAGTGTTGCCACAATTATTTTTAAATAAGGTGAGTTTTTAGACACGTTTACAAAAATGTCAACATTTTTGCTGAACAAAATTAAAATACGTTGCACAAATTAATACCCGTAACATGTTCTAAAGCTCGTTTTGGTATTAAAAAAATTGCTGTCATTTTGTTCAGCTCAGCTCTCAGATATGCAGAAGAGTGGACAATCAAACACTGCATGAATGTAGTTCACAAAATGGAAAAGGAATTACTATATAGATGTTTTCTAGAATTTTAGTGTACAGTTCCCCAAATACTCCTAAAATCTTTAACAAATTCTTCCCCTTCAAGAGGAGAAACTAGGCTGCATAAAGTTTTATTATAACTGCATGCATTTCTGAAACATTATCACTAGTTATAAAAACTAGTTAATATCAACTAGTTACAAGCACAAGTCCACAGCAAACATTCTGACAAAATACACTCACTTTGTAAACAGAAACCTGAACGCACAGTTACTAAGCGTGTAACCATAAAACCACCTTGGAAATACTTTACTTGATGCTACCCATATGTAAATAAAGAAATAATTTTCTATTTGTTCCACGACTATGAAAAAACCACAAAAGTCATGAAGCTTATACTGGTGAGAAATATCACCACCAGAATTTCTTACGAAAAAAAAGACATCTCACCTTAATTATTTTTTCATTGTCCTCCAGCCTGCTCTCTGCATAGGCCAGTTTCTTTGCCAGGTCATCTCTTTCGGCAAGGTGCTTATCTGCAGACAGCTTTTTCAGTTTCTGCAAGGCAGTTTTTGTTCTGTACAGTTCATCTTGCGAATCTTTCAGCCGCTGCTCAGTTGCACGTTCCTTCTCTTGAGATTTTCGAAGGCGCTCCCTTAATATTCTGACCTCGTTGTTGTGCCGAGCGAGGAGCTGCGAGATTTCATTTTCTGTATCTTCAAACTTATTCAAGGCTTTCTCCTGCCGGTGCTGAAGCCTCTTCAGTGCCCTGTTCTCCTTCTGCAGCTCATCCAGTTTGATGTGGAGCTCAGTCAGCTCATTTCGGAGGTCATTGATTTTCAGCAGCCTGGCAGAAAGAACTCTTTTGGTAACAAGATCTATATCTTTTGCAGGAGAATCCCTAGTCAGGCTCTGCGAGTGGAAACCACACTGCGTCCCTCTTTTGCTTGGCACGTATTTGGAACCCAATTTCTTCGTGGCTAAGAGAGGAAAAATAAAAAGCATGCTTACTGTAAGACAATGCAATCTGTCTGTTCAGACATCCTTCGTGGAATAAAGCTCTGCCTGAAACAATTTTACGATACTTAGCAGAGATTGCAGCTTCCAAATCAGACAATAAAAGGCATACACATGATAGGCTTATGCTCCTTTTGAGAGATTAAAATAAATGGAGATTTGTGTTTGTGATCTACCGCATGAAGTATTATTTGCAGCCATCAATAAAGGACCGCTATAAAGTAATCATCTGCAAATCGTATCAGAAATAACAGTCATATGTGGTTAATATTTGATGATGTTTATTAAAATGTTTAGAAATACTGTACTCTCATGCATACGATATTATCAAATGCTTTCAAAATGGCAACAATTAGCTGAGCGTTAGCTGGTTATGTATTATGCAAGATGTAATTCTCTCAGACAAATGCAGTAGTATTTCCAAATCCAGCTGCCATGCTTACAGACAAAACAGCACATTTCAAAGGCTCAGTGCAAAAAGCCTCCAAAGCAAAAGCATAAATCCCATGAAAATTCAGTTCTCCCCTGAATAATTTATTCCTGTATCACAAGTTATTTTCCACACAGTACCCTTATTTGATTACTAGTATGCATCACTTGCATTCTTATTTGATATTACTATTTTATTATCATCCCCAAGATAAAAGCTAAACATTTTGTTTCTATCTTATTTGCCTCTCAAGCCACACTCAAAGATTGAATCACATAAGCCACCAAAAATATCTCTTAAAACAACTGAATGTATAGAGAGTGCAGAATTCATTAAGGTACATCAGTGTTTTTTTAAGAATCATACTGAGCAGCAGCTTATAACACAGGCTTGAAAGCTGGGACACAGCAATAGTGCAGGTACCTATACACAGTGAGTGTGTGTGACAGCAAATTCTTCCTCCTATTTGGTGCTCACCATATTTCTATCCTACAGAGAATATTTTACAGCAAAAGTAACAGCTTTAAAATATTTCTTATAATCTCCTCTACGTGTTTTACACAAAGACTCATTCATTTTCTGCTTGCTGCTCATTTTTTCCACAGCTTGGGCAAACAAAAGAAGGTTGTTTTTTAATTTGCAATTTAATTTTAATTTCTGTCACATTCAGGTGTGAAAAGATTATCTAATACATGCACTGCAGGAGTGATGCCACTCCTATCACCAACTCAAGGTATTCCCATTAACTCTACACTTCCAACTCCTTCAAGAATTTCTCCACATTTAGGGCAGAACAGAAAATTCCAATACCGAGTTTGCATTTCTGACCATGTAGTTAAACTGGGGAATATATTGTGTCTTTCGAGGTCACCACGACATTCCCAATACCTTCACGTAATAATTACGTTCAGTTCTGGCTATGTAATCAAGGAACTAGTCCTTCATTTGCCCCCTCCAAATTAAACAGCACAGTGGAGCTGCAATTTTTGTTTCCCAGAAAGCGAACCCACGGCTGCTATGGAGAAGATGCCACTTCTGAACACAGAGAAGCTTGGCAAAACCCCAGTTGTACCAGGACACCAACACTGTCAAGGATGTGAAGAGATACACTCCCTGCGCAACTTCAGTATCCACAGTTTGATCTTCTGGCACACTTGAGATCATGATGCTGACCAAATGATTCCTACAGTATCAAGCACTCAGGAATGAAACAGAGCACTTGCTTGAGAAAGGCAGAAAATGCTCTGATTTCACCAGAAAATGTGTGCAACTATTTAGAACAAGCTGTCAAAGTGTGCCAGAGGCCTCACATCCTTCTTTCAGCCCAGGATGTGGACAACCATTCTCTCCCTTTTTGTAGGGATGTTCACTTCCCCACAATGTCAAGCAAGAAAGCAGCTTATGTAGGTGAGGTGTGTGTGAGGGAGCTCATAGTGCGGCTATTTCATCTCTGATTGGAGATATTTTACTCTCAAGGAAGGACCAGGAAAAACTTTCCTTTGGATTTCCACATGCATCTAACTTTCGCCAAAACCACTTTCTCTCTCTTGCCACATTAGTGGTATTTCATTTGTTTGGTTTTTGAAAGTACCCAGTATTACACTGTAAAGCTTGGTCAACTAGACTTCCACAGGAGAGAAATCTTCAGGGAAGTTTTGTCAGAGGAATTTTAACCATCGTCTCTTTTACTGACCGCATAGTAAGAGCTTTCCTTGGGTCCTTGGCCTTGAGTCTTTTTGTCAAAGACAAAAAGAGAGCATCAGCAGGATTGAACAAAAGGCTGTGCTAAGAGCCACGTTCACTTGTTAAGAAACATCTGAATGATACTGAAAATCACCTAAAATCCTCCTTGTGCAGGATCAGGTTAATTGCAGTTTTTAACAAAGCAGTCTCAGTCTACCGGCCACCTGTAGCGTAATTCACACGAACCTTACTTGTAGATTCTCATAATGGTAGTTCCCCATCTTTATTTCAGCTTTCAAAGATAATTAACTCTTCGGAGCAGTTACAAAGCAGCAATTTCTGCTGTCTACCTACCTTGGTAGTGCACAAGGCTGTTTGAAGTTTTTGTTTTGTGACCTCGTTTTTCTTGGCTTATAGATGGAAAGCTTAGCGTTCGCGACTGGCCAGACGAATGAGATGTATTCTCTTCATCTGAATAACAGGAGTCACTATTTTTATCCTCATCTGATCCCCTGCTGTGTTCCGAATCTGGGCTCCTTACTCTTTCTCCCATTTTCCAGATTTAACTGCTCTCCAGATTTTTCTCAAAGACCGTTCATTTTGACACAAAGGACCTTTCAGTTGTCACAATGGCAGCAGCTGGATTATTTCCCTGGGTTTATCATCTTCATCTGTGAAGTGTGAGATCTTTGCGGTTCAATTCAGCAAGCAGCAGTTATCATTCAGAATGCATTTTTCTGTAACAATTTAGAGAGAGAGAAAAGAAAGTTTAGTTAATAAAGAAAGGTTAAAAAAGAAAAGTAAAATTATTCAGTACTCCTATAACGTTATGCCACGTGCTGTGCTACATTAGCTTTATTATTTATACTAAATGTGACAGACATCACTCTAGGAATGCTACTAGTATTACACTCGGTAGTTTGAGGCACTTCATCCCCAAAAGAGAAATCAGAAAGTTAGCACAGCTAAATCTAGAATAAGAAATCACTTCCAGCTTAGAGAGAGGAGGAAAAGAAGCATTTGGAAAGCAAAACAGAAGTGGAAGTTTGAAGCTATTCAGGAAACTAATTTAAACATACTCAAACACTTTTTAACCAAATAAAGGAACAATTTATCCATGTGCCTAGAATTGAGATAGTATTTGTAGAACTGGACTAAATCTTCCATATCTCAATTTCTGACACTGATAATGTTAAATCCGCTGTCCCATTTGGCTGGAGGCCATTCTGTCTCTAACCGCTAATGAGCCCGTACCTATGGATCACAGTCTTTGCTCCAGAAAGTACCCTTGTACCCTATAACATCCAGTGGTTCATGCCTTCAGGAACTGGCAGAGGCACACACATCTGGGTCATGTGCTTTATAGGAAAATGCAAATACAGCCTTTTAGGTTTTTTTATATCTGATCAGAGTGCCCATGCTGCTGGTATGTGGTAAACATCTGTAGCAAGTATAAAATGAGAAGAGCTGCTCCTGCAGCCTATCTTTTGATGTAAAGTGAAAAATCACCTCATCTCAAGGTAAAAACATCTTATTTTGTATTTTTGGAGACACTTCTTGAGACTATAACAGAGCAAATATAGCCAAAATTTTCCTGACCTTCTCAGTCAAAAGAATTTCTCATCATTTTAGGAAGTATTTTAGTGACCATGCTCAGCTTCCCACATCTCACCCTCTCTCATCGCTCTTCACAGCTCTCAAGCTTATTTCACCATCTATCTCCCTTCAATCACACTTCAGGACATCAGGATCCTAATGGGTGAGTAAACAGGACTTGCATCAGAGCCCATCAGCTCTGCCTGTTGAATGACATAAGCTCCTAGCCCATTTATAAGTGGTAAAGCAAACTACACACACACACAGAGATGAGCAGCTTTCAATCAAAACTCTTCTACATTGCAGGGCATAAAACATACCCATAAATGAGCTGTAAAATTTTCACTATATTATTTCCCCATAAAATAAAATTAGCATGCTTCTCGGCCTTCTATTCCACTGTCTGTACATGCAGAACTGCATAGCCAAGCAGAAACATCAGCTGCCAAGAGAGGTTTCATTACAAACTCAAGCTTTCTGGCCCAGTTCCCTGTAAGCACACCTCTCTCTCCAGTGACTGGAATTTGATTGCCCTCATAATCTATCAGGAAGGAATTAGGGAAATAAATATCCCAACAGATAAAAAACTGGGAAGCTGCTGGGAAATGAATACTGAATTATTTGGAAAAAGAGTGTTTTTCTTTACTTATGGAGGAACTTCCCAACATAATGTTTTTTAAGCACCTAAATATTTTCAAAGTGTTCCAAATAAATCACACGCCTAAAACGTCAGAGAGGATTCTGATGAAAACTAAAACTGCACTGCAAAGCCCAGAAAGAAGCCAAGCTATGCTTGAAATCACTTGTCCTAGAGACTGGCAAACACATACTGGAAGGTATCAGTTATTGCGAACATTCAGATGATTAGTAATGACCTTTCTTTTTGCTTCTGAAATGATGTAGTTATTAAAGATATTTCAAGAGTATACACCTAACCATAATCACATTATCCTCTTTGTTTTTCAGTGTAATGAAGACCTCCAGATACGCTCATGAGTGCAAAACTGAGGTAATGTAAGAACATTAGAATGTATCAGGGTACATCCCCACTCCTAAACAGCTCCAATCCTAAGTCCTGGCCTCACAAACACCTGTGCAGAACAAGTGTTATCTCGCTCCTTGAAGGGAACATGACGCCCAAAATGAAACACAGGCAGAATTTTGGGGACAACCTGTGCTCTAGAGGATGCACAGACAAGACTGCCTAAGTTCTGTCTCCACAGGACAGAATCTAAGGGAATGCAAAAAAAAAAATATAAAGTAATATATTCAAATACTAAAGTAATATAAAATTTTAAAATAGTACCCTGGAGGGCTGTTACACAGACCTCCTGCTATTACAGTCATCCTGACTGAAAACACCCACTGAAAACAGTAGTTGTGTTTGTAACCCACACAAAGCGGTGCTGTCATTGAAGCCAAAGGCTTCATTTCCATCTAACAACATGGGCCACAAAACCTGTCAGACTTTGCCTGAACTCATCTTGAGTGCCTGGAGCTTACCTTAAGGGAACTGACCTAACTTGTTTTAGCTTTTTGCTTAGCTTTGTACAATTGTCTAGCACCTACTGTTACACTTAGGTTTATAAATTACAATAACAAGTAGTTACTCTGTGCAGAGTGAACTACCTACAACCCTTGCAAAAATGCAGCATAGGGGAGTACAGGCACAGGGTGACTGCATGGGCCCGAAAGAACAAACACAGGACAACGCTGGGGCCCTAAGCTGTAACATCTCACTGCTGCCCCATTACTGGTCATCAACAGCCTTGGGAGCTGGGTACGACCAGTTTTATAGGCAATCTACAGAACACAGAACAAGTACTCAACATATGTAAAACACACCACATGTAAATTCAAATACAATATGGAATCATGAATCAATGTACAGAAAAGAACAGCACAGAATAAAGGGCAAGGTGCACAGTGTTTTAGCAAGCATATAAAAATGATCCCAAATGGTCTGAAGGCAAGCAGGAAGAAAGCATCACCATCCTCTTCCTGTCAGGGAAAGATTCAGGGTGCTGATGACTTGCTGTAAAGAATTCCCCCTCTCAGTTGAAGCCAGTCAAGTCCCAGAGGGAGAGTGGGTGGGCAAAGATAACACCAGAGAAAGGGTCTGGTATTAAAGTTTGTGCCTATATCACTGTAACCATATACAGCTTGAACTGTGGTAGTATCTGGACTAATACCAAGTCTTTGATTTGACTGTTAAGATCTTAATGAGCCTAACAATCAATTGTTGGCTCTGCAGCTGAGATGTGTTCCCTGTTTTGCTCAAAACAACATGCTGAATAAAACAAACTGGTCGGAATTCAAGCAACCAAGCAACGCTGTTACCTGGATGCAAGCCTCTCCCAGGGCCACAGGGGCACATGTGACGTCCAGACTCTTGGGCTCTTGGAGTGGGTACATTGGTATGAAAGGCACCATCACATCCAGAGGTCTTAACCTAGCCTGTGTGCAGGCAGGGAGTACGCTATGGTGCAAATATCTTCAGCAGTGTAGATACAGCCAAGATAAACCCAAATTTCCTGTGCCTTCAGGACACAGAAGAAAGAAATAATCAAGCACAGACTTTTTCTTGAGAAGAAAGCAAATATGAATGAAAACAATGGGACTGCATTCAGGGAAAACAGAAATGTCTACAGTTGAATCATCAAGATGTCTAATTATATATATAGAACAGAACACTCACTTTCACTTACTGACTTAAAGCTGATCAGTTATTTTAGAGTCCCACAAGTGTTCACTGAAGAGGCAATAATCACTTTGAAGAATGCTTTTCATAACTCAGTGTATTTAAAACAGAGAAATTGTAAGAGCTGGAGGTTTAGTATTATCCATCACTTCTGTACTGGATATTCCCCACTTCTGAGAATATTTTGCTAAGTATCATTTTGACATAAAGCAACATAAATGAACAATAATCTTTGATGGATTCTGGAAGCACTTTGAAAAGCAATAGACTGAAAACAAATTGAAAGAGGTGAACCAATAAAAGTTCCCTTGAGGAACTGCCAAAAACATTTTCTGAATCTTCAAACGGTTTTCAGTTTCACAAATTGGTAATATTATCATATTTTCCATACAAAACGAGAAACCTTAGCCTGTCAAGTCTTGCCAAATTCAGTTTTCCAGCAGTTTGTAACGTAATTCGATTAACATAAAGAATGCAGAGTTTATCTTGAGAACAAATGAATCACTAGGATATTTGAGTCTTACTTCAGTCAGCCTAAGGACTGCCTCATTACGAAACGCTTTGGTTCATTGACTTTTCAATTGTTACCAACTAGTCTGAGTTGATTACAAAAGAAGTTCAACTTGTGAGAGTAAGATCCACAAAGATACCTATTTTCCCCTGACATTTAATAAGTTTGTGAGGAGTGAAACACTGTGGGTTAGGAGTGGGTCAACTAAGCTCCGCTACTACAACCCCAATGCCCTCCTCCCAAAAGCTCCATGCATGCTGTCAGAAGCCTAATGCACCAAGACCAGAGCAGTATAGAACAGCTGAAGTAAATCTGGGACTTGTTCAAACTTCAGAAACAGTTTTGGTGCCAGAATTTCACGCTCATTCACTCCAGCAGCTTCTATCCATTGCTATTATTTATGTATTTTTTACTGAAAACGTGCTGATTCTTACAAAAACCAGTCACGCTCTGGGTCACTGCAAAGGAAATGACAGACAAAACAGAACACAAAACAACTGCAGTGGTGTCAGAATACTGTCTCCCTATCATTCCCAAGTAAATCACAGAAACAGAAATTGAACTACTGGATCATGAGTACTAAGCAATAAAGGAAAATTACTCAGTAATTCTCCTCTCGCAGTACACCCAGAGCTTAGTTCTGCAATGCAAGACCCATAAAACTTTCCAAGTCCTTCTCAGTGTTGATGCCCTTCTAAGACCAGAAGCAGCTGGTTACTTTCACTGGTCACTACCTGATGCTTCC